ATGGAAGCAGACGAACATACCTTTCTCCCATGCAGCAGCTGGTGCGCTCAGATAACTAACCTTTTGGTTAACAGTTAAGGTGGTAACAGTGCACCCTTAGGGCTCCTTAAATTGCACAAAATCCACCAATTTCTTATGAACCATAGTAGGCTTGGGTAAATTAAAGATGCTGATGGTCACCTTCATTGTTTTTCTTAGATATTGATGAGTGCGCAGACCCCATAAACTGCGTGAATGGTTTATGTGTCAACACACCTGGTCGCTATGAATGTAACTGTCCGCCTGATTTTCAGCTGAATCCTACTGGTGTGGGCTGTGTGGGTAAGTAGGAAACAAATGCCAAGAATTAGATAGAGTTGACTAGTCAGACTCTTAGAAATGAACTGTGATGAATGTCTACCCGAGTTCATTTAAATTGAAATAATCCTTGGGGAATTCTACATTACCAAACATTATAGAGTCACTTTTACCATATTTTCCAAATCAGACTTTGAAATGGGAATTGCACCTGACTTGGTAGAAACTAAGTCTTCACTAACGTAGGGAAGAACATGCTCAACATAATTGCAACTGAAAGACCTCTAGAAAGACTTCAAGCCTCGAGTTGTAATCTTGAAAGATCCCGTGGGAAAAACATTGAGTGATGGAAGACACATCAAGAGAAGACAGAACGCACAGATCACTGTACCAAAAAGAAATCGTCAACCTTGCATCACTTCAGGGGGTAGCACAAGAGTGAAGACCGATAATAAGACAGGAAGAAGTTCAGACTGCACCAAACACATTTGTCAAAAACAGGGTTTTAGGAATTGATGGAATACCAATGAAATGTTTCAACGAGCTGATGAAACACTGAAAGCACTCACTAGTCTATGCCAGGAAACTTGGAAGCTAGCTACTTAGCCAACTGATAGGAAGAGATCCATATTTGTGCTTCTTCCAAAGAAAGGACATCTAACAAAATGCTCAAACTTATACAGCAATATCATTGATACCAAATGCAAGTAAAATTTTGCTGAAGATTGTCCAACAATGGTTGTGGCAGTGCATTGACAGGAAACTGTTGCTAGAGGTTCAAGCTGGATTCAGAAGAGGATGTGGAACAAGCTATCATTGCTAATGTCAGATGGATCTTGACTCACAGCAGAGAATACCAGAAAGAGGTTTGCTTATGTTTTATTGACTGTACAAAGGCATTCCACTGTGTGGTCTATAAAAAACTTTTGGATAACCTTGAGAAGAGTGAGGATTGGAGCTCATACATGGATCAAGAGGCAGTTATTCAAACAGAATAAGGGAATGCTGCATGGTTTAAAATCAGCAAAGTTGTGTGTCATGGTTGTACCTCTCACCATACTTAAGTCAGTCTACATTCTGAGCAAGCCACCAGAGAAGCTGGATTATATGAAGAAGATTGTGGCATCAGAATTGGAAGAAGGCTAACAACTTGAAATGGGCAGATGACACAAACTTGCTTGCTAACACTGAGGTGGACTTGAAGTACTTACAGATGAAAATTGCAGCCTTCAGTATGGATTACAACTCAGTGTCAAGAAGTCCAAAATCGTCACAACTGGACCGATGGGTAACATCAGAATAAATGGAGGAAAAACGGAAGTCATCAAAGAATTTGTCTTGCCTGGATTCACAATCAGTGTTGATAGAGGCAGGAGTCAAGAGATCAAAAGACATAATGCATTAAGTAAATTGCACAGACCTCTGTAGAGTATTGAAAAACTTTGAGGACTGAGAGGTGCCTGACTCAAGCCATGATACTTTCCATTGCCTCATGCCTGCGAAAGTTGGCCATTGAATAAGGAAGACCAAAGAAGAGTTGATGCATTTGAATTGTGGTGCTGGAGAAGAATATTGCAAGTGTCCTGGACTGCAAACAGAACAACGCAGTCGGTCTCAGAAGTATGGTCAATAGTGCTCCTTAGAGACAACAATGACCAGACTTCATCCTACATACTTGGGGCGTGCTGTCAGGAGAGACTAGTCCCTGGGGAACAACATCATGCTTGGTGAGGTGGCGCAGTGAAAAAGAAGACCCTCCACAAGATGGATTGGCACAGTGGCTTTCTCAGTCGGTTCAGGCCTTGGAAGGATTGTGAGCAGGGCATGGGACTGGACAGTTTGATTCTGTTGTACATGGGGTAGCTGCAGGTCAGAACTGACTCGATGGCACCTAACAACCGCCACCACCACAGCAAGGCTCAGGTTGGTTCCATTTAGTTGGTCAAGGTCACAGAGATGCGTATGGACAGAGCCTAGGACATTGTCCTGCATGAGTCCTCCTGGCCCAGTGATGAAGAGCAAAGACCACAGCCTTCAGTATGGAATGCACCTTAGCAAAAAGCAAGCAAAATCCTCACAACTGGACCAATAAGCAACATGAATGGAGAAAAGAGTGACATTGTCGAGGATTACAGTTCACTTGGATCCTCCATCAATGCCCAGGAAGTCAAGAAATCCAATGACATAAGGCACTGGGGAAACTGCTTTCAAATGATGTCTTTAAAATGTTAAAAAGCAGCAATTGCGCTTTGAGGACTAAGGCATGCCTGGCCTTGTCATGGTGTTTTCAGTCACTTCCTATGCAGTAAAAGATGGACAATGAATAAGAGGACTAAGGAAGATGCATAAGAACGGATGCTTTAGGATTTGGGTGTTGGTGAAGAAAATTAAATACACCATGGATTTCTGGAACAAGGAACAAATCCATCTTGGAAATATAGCAAGTTTGTTCCTTAGAAGCAACATGGTGAGAATTCATCTCATGCACTTTGGAAATGTCCTCCGAAGGGACCAGTCCCTGGAAAAGGACATCCTTAGAGACAAAGGTAAGACATCCTTAGAGGCTGCTTTACTCCAGGTAAATCAGGGACTTTGGTTTGGTTTGGTTTGGTTTTAGACACCCACTCGTTATCTCATCAAACACTTAATACTTCATCCACACATTAAAAACAAACACTTCTCTGCCAGTCGTTTGCATTTTCAACAAAAGGAAGCTCCGCCGTTTCTGTTCTCAGACTGGAACCATTTCTTACTCCATACCATCAACCAATATTAAATTACAAGCATATCTTGGAGACCTCGCGAGCTTGGTTCCAGAGCGCCACAACGCAGTGAATACAGTGTAGTGTAGACAAAACGCGCACTGGGACACCAAAAAATCTTGAAAAGTTTTAAGCAACTAACTTTGATACAAAGAATAATGAGGAAGCTTTTCTTTGTAGGATACAGAATTTGAATTTCCTCGTTTAAGTGACTTTTCTAAAGTTCTTATTCCAAAAACAAAATTTTTTAACATTTTTTAATTTAATAATTTTATTGGGCTCATACAATTCATCACAATACATAGATCAATTGTGTAAAGCACACCTATACATTTGTTGCCCTCATCGTTCCCAAAATTCGCTTTCCTCTTGGGTTCCCAGAATCAGCTCCTTTTCCTTTTTCCCCTCCCCCTCCC